TCAGAGTTTGCTAGATGAAACAAAGCAAATAATTAATACACAATTCTTTATATTGTGAAAATAACTCCATAAATCTGTCCTCCACCTCTGCTCCAAGTAGGAGATGGCAACTATATTCTGTGTTACATTTTTTTCTGTTTCAAATTTGCCATTACAATGATTCATTCTTCCTGGGTGAATTTCTTTTTTAAAAAAAAATGCTGTTCACGAGCTGGTGAACTTTCCATCTGACAGAACTATTGGATAGAATTTTCTTGTCAAAACGATCCATGTGTAATTACATGAACTACTTTTCTTCCATCTCATTTCTTCTAAAGTTATTGATCTGCTGCTCCTATATACCATGTTAGAAATTCAGGGTCACTAAAACCAAAACTCTTAATAAATTTGCCCACAAGACCAGAATCAAACAAGGGAGGTATGCCATTTTTCTGCATGGTGGACTTTGTACTTAAAAAGTGAAAATTTGACATAAAACGTGCAGAAAATCAGAGGAAGAAACAGCCAGCTAGTCTAAAAGGCAACTCATGCTTGAAATCAATGTAACTGATGTTATTAAGTTTGCTTTCAAAACCTATTGTGGATTTCCAAAATCCTTCATCTCTGAAATGTTTCCTTAAATAACACTGCTTACTAGACCTACCATCTTCTTGGCATGCTATACTGATTATAAGATTAATTTGGAATATATATTTATATATCATCTTTCTTATGCAGAACATGAAAAATATGTAATCAATTTAAAGCCTTATATCACAGTGAGAAATTATTGCTGGGGACTTCTGGGTTGAGCCCTCCTCCTGACGGATTGTAGATCGCGACTGTCCATGGCTATGGTCCATGCTCTTTCGTTCGAGGGCCATAATCATTGTGATTAGGGGCTGAAGCTGCCTTGGAGGGGTGGTGGAGTAAGGGGAAGCCGCAAGCCAGGTTGAGGGGAGCTGCATCTCCCCTCCTGGGCTTGGTCTTTTTCCCTTCGAAGATGACTGAAGCGGAGGTACAAAATGGCCACCCTGAAGAGGAGGACTCAGCTGGATTAAGATTTGTGCAGGAGTGAAGAAAGAGGTGGAGCCGGGACAATTGGGCGAAATAACTAAACAAAAAGCACCCCGGGATTAAGGTAACATTGATCTTTTAAGAAAAGAGGAGTGGCGAAAATACAAAGGGATAGGGAAAAAAAATAAGAAATTTTGACAGCTAAGCGGGGCTTCAAACCAGGAAAGGAAGAAGCCGGAACAAAAGACTTAATTAAATTGGACTAAAATATTTTGACAATAAAAAGGCATAAAATAAAGCTGGACTTAAGATTGTCAAAAAAATAATAATAAAATTTACAAATTGGAGACTGGATTGTGCTGGAATATTGAGGTTCGAAAAACCCTAAATAAAAAAATAGGGGAAAAAGGTGAAGACCTTTAGGGAGAGTGCCGTCTTCTGACAAAAACTTGAACTCAAACAAAAGGGAAAGCATCCTGTTTCTGTATGAACTTGTGTTGATATAATGTTAAAGAAATATTGAAACAAAGTAAGAATCTTAGAAAGTGAAAGCTGAACCAGAATAAAGAAAGAAGAAAGGAAAGACTGATTGTGGGATTGATTGATGTTTTTGGTATAGGCTGGAACAATTGAGAACTTTAGAAAACTGGAAGAAAAAAGAAGGAAAGTAAAAGTATTTTTTGTGGACTTCAACAATTATAAAATATAAGAGTGTGTACTTATGATAGCTCTTTGGAAATTAAAAATGGAACTTAAAAATATGAGAGAATTACTACAGGAAAGAGGCGAATCACTTTGCTCTATGTTAGAAAAAGTGGAAATGGCCATTGAAGAACAAGAAGAAAGAACTTCAGAGGAGAAGGAGTCGATTCAAGGAGAAGCCATCTTAAATAGATAATTAACAAATTAACACAAAGAACACTACAAAGACGAGGGGAAAGAAGGAAAGCTAAAAAGTTGAGATTTAAGAAGGTAATCAAAAAGGGGAATACCAGTGAAATCAGGAGAGGTAGAAAGATCCAGCAGAAAAGGGGAAAGGAAGATATTAAGAAAGAGAGGGATATAAACCGGCATGAGAAAAGATATGGGATAAAGAGGGGGAGGAGAGGCAGTAAGAAACAGGTGCAAGAAATAAAGAAACACGGAAATAGTAAAGAACTATTTAAATCAATAAGCTAATACAGACTATTAAAAGAAAGGAGAGACATTGGTAACGTTTTTTTATTTGACAAACATATATTGTTATTTTTATTTTTAAAATAAATATTAAAGGATTATATTTGAAATAATTGAAATGAAACAAAAAGATGTTTTGATTGAGATTAATGTAAGAGACTAGGATTAATTTGCTTGTTCTCTCCCTTCTGAAAGTTTGGAATGGAAAAGGTAATAATAGAATTAAGTATGCATATATGAATGTACAACTATTGTCATATTTCTATGTAAAAGTGATGTCCACTAAAAAGAGCTTTTTGTTTTTATGTGAAAAATTGAATAAAATTTGTTTTAAAAAAATTATTGCTGCTAATCAGGGCAACAGTATTTTGGCCTCAGAGGCTAAAAGATATTTTGGAGCTATCACATCAGGAGATGTTTGGTATCTCTCTGCAATTTCTAAAAGCAGCTGTGATTTTCCTGGGATTTTGTAATTCTAGCAGAATTTGGCTAAAATTTAGGATTATAGCTCAAGCCTCTTAACTAATAAAATCCCTTTAAACTGTTTTAGTTATCTAACTGAGCATCCTTATCAGCATTATTAGACAGGGGAAAAAACCTATATTCACTCTTGCTTTCTCAAGGCAGTTACCAATATATTTTTTCCTTTTATATTCAGTTTTCTGAGTATAGCAACCTGGACATTTCCTTCCTTATTATTTTCAAGAATTGCCATCCTGCTTAAAGGAATATTTTATATGGAATGTCAATCTCGTATTCCAAAACACCTGTTTTCATTTAACTTCAGTTACATGGTATTGTTTAGAGAGCACATTCCCAGAATTTGTAGTATTAAGATGATATGAAAAGTCAGTCTTATTTGAAATTTTAATTGTTTATAGTAGTGACAATTTTAGTATCATCTTATTGCTGCTGCTGTGACTATTTTTTACCTTGCTGAAATAATACAGCCTTTTGAAAGATCTGTTGAAATTTCCTGCCTATGAATTACTTTCGATATTGCTGAAATTGAAGGTCTATCATGATAAATAATTATCAGAAAAGTTGCTTTATAACTTAGATGTTAGCACAGATCTACAATAACTTTTTGACTGATTTTGATACTCAGCACTATTTTTTCCTGTACAGTTTCAGAAAAAATGGATGGAAGCTAAGCAAGAAAAGAAGCAATCTGGAAATAAGGAAAAGTTTCCTAGCAGTGAAGACAATTAACAGTGGAACAGCTTCCTTCAGAAGTTTTAGGGGCTTCATCACTGGAGATTTTAAAGAAAAGACTGGATAGTCACTTATCTGAAATGGTTATAGGGCAGTGGTGGCTAACCTTTTGGGGCTCCTGTGCCAAATATTGTGTGTGTGCTTGCACGCTTGCGTGCTAGCACCCAGAAGGCAATGCACACCCTCCATGCATGTGTGCACAATCCCCACCCCCCTTACCTGCACTGTATCTCATAGCTGATTTTTGGCTGGTTTAAGGCCTATTTCGGCCTCCCAAAGGCTTGAGGAAGGCTTCAGCAGGCCGAAAACTAGCCCTGTTTCATCACTTCCGGTATTTTCAGAAAAATGGGAAGTGATGAAACGGGGCTAGTTTTCGGCCTGCAAAGCCTGCAGAAGCCTTCCTCAAGCTTTTGGGAGGCCGAAAAAGGCCTCAAACCCACTGAAAATCAGTTGTGAGGTACGCACATGTTCAGTGAGGTAAATTTGCCTGCAGCTTGCGTGCTGGAATAAATGGGTCTGTGTGCCACCTGTGGTACACGTGCCATAGGTTTGCCATCACAGGTATAGGGTCTCCTGCTTGAGCAGGGGGTTGGATTAGAAGATCTCCAAGGTCCCTTCCAGCTCTATTCTGATCAATTGAAATACAAGATGTTTACTTAGGAATAAAGTTTTGAGTTTACACAATATGTATATATTTTTTTGATCCCCTGATAATTTCCACTAGTATTTTTACAGAGGAACTGCTGAAGAGAATTAGTCCAATAATCAGAGGAAAATATTTATTTACAGGAATGTAAAATTTATGTTACAGTATTTGAAACAAAATTGTGTTGAATGTTGACCGAAACCAAAATATTCAGAAGATGAATGCAAATAAACATTCTGTCCTATTATTTAAAACCTCCATGGCTTTTAAAAATGGCTGTAGAGTTGCCTTATGGATATGCCATGTTTTATATTTAATTCAAATGAATTGTTCTGGAATTTGAAACTATTTCCTTTCTGCAATTCATTAAAGCAGCTGTTTGTGTTGCCTCGTATTTTGAAAAACTCCTTCTCAAGTAACAATACTTTCCATGGTCTTAAGACGTTCCCCCCCCCCACTCATTTCATAGAAGTGTTCTAAACACAAAATGCAACACAATTTAATGCATATGTTTTTAAAAAGAGGGGGACATATCCCTAGGACAATAGGATTAACATTCCAACTCTTTTTCTAGATTGATTTGACTTGCAAGCAAGGATATTTGACAAAGGGGTACAGAAAGAAACCCTGCGTATTTTATATTCTTTCTCTTGGTACTTTTATAATCACGGCAAGGACTGAGAAAAAAAATAATTTATACAGAAATAGGTAGCTTTTATGGAAACATTGTAATAATGCAACAGACAGAAGATCAGAGTGAAGGAGCTATCTGTTCAAGTAAAACATGCGTTCTGCCTACAAAAAATTTCATCTCGAGCCTCTGGCAACTGAACTAATGCTTATTAATTAGATTTAGCTTATTAGTTAGATTTAGCAGATGGCAGCTTTACATTTTATTTGCAGGTTTAACTGAGCAACAGGCTTGTTCTTTCCCCACAGCCTTTAATCTGGTGATACAATGCTGCATTTAGAGCCTGGCTCCTTATGTATGGATATTGTAAGGGTCACATTCAAGTATTGTGAAATCTATAATGCCCAACTGAGGCACTGTACAATTTATATCTAGATCTGGATAATTCATGAATTGTATCTGTAAAATGATGCAGCAATGAATTCACAGAATCTGCATTTTCAAAAATGAAGACTGAAGAAATATATGTGAAAATACTAAGCAATACACTGCAGCCTTTGAAGAGGTTTGGGAGAAAGATCCCAACGCAGTGAACACTTACCATAACCAAATGCATCTTCTATTTAATTATCAATGTAGACATGATTGAAGGTGTGATGATTCCTTTGTGCCCTCAGAAAAGTGCTTGCATTTGCTAAAGGTGACCTATTAGTTGACAAACTACCCTTATCCTACCCTTAATATGAATTATGATCATAGAAATAATCCAATTTCAAGCCTTGTTCTCTAAACAAGACTGAAAAAACAGGACCACAGCATTAATTAACACTTTTTGTATTTTACTGAGAAGAGAGAGATGATGTTTCTATGGTAAGTTACCACATACAGTATATATGTATGCTGTATAGTGTGTGATATGGTCTATACTGTATGATGCACTCCCCTCATTTTGTAATTCAACTCCAGAGAAACCAATGCATCTATCTACCTGTCTGGCTAAAATAGGTTAAAACTAGAGTCTCCAGTCACCCGAATGAAGAGCATACATTATATATACTGTATATATAAAAACAAAAAAAGATAATTCAATGGAATAGAAAGCAGATGGGCATCAAACATGTCAACTTTACAACATGGCAACACTCATAAAATTTTTTGAACCATACTGATCTAGTTTATCCATAATGTGCTTATCAGAAGCTAAGAGTAGCAACATAGAGATTGGGGGGGGATGTTGACATTAATAACAGTTTTCTATAGATATCACAGGAAACTGTAAAATATATCCAAATTATATCCATTTTAGTGTAATGATACACTGAAAATCTTCAAAGACAAATATTGATTTGTTCTTTTCTATAAGCCACTAATGCATGTATTTGCCTTAAAGCAGGAATAAAAAATAATTAAAATATATATTGGCTCATAAGTTTTTGATGATCTCATCATTATGCTGTAAACATTTAAGTGCAATATCACTTGACTGTAAATATGAACATAAAACATGCTAATCATAAAAATAGCTTTTACAAATATACATTTGTATACAGTATTTCTTTTGCTTTAAATATGTCCTTCATATTATACAAGTCATTGGCTATCTGACATCAAAATTAAAAAAAATACCAATGATTAGCCAGGAGAAACACATTTACAGTCTAAACCATAAAAATTTGACAATCGCATATTTTTAAACATATGTTTTAAAATTTTGAATGGCGTTCTCCATTTCCAAAAGTAAATTCAGTTCTTCATACAAATTGAGTCAAAGATGTTATGAGCTGACAAGAAACTGTAGTTTACATTTTCACACAGGGAAGTCTATGAATTATCTTCTCAGCTTCCAAAAAGGTTGTGTAAGGGTCCCAATTCATTTGATCTGTAGAAACTATAACATAAAATATAGTTGTGTTTGAAAACATTTCGAAGAATAGATAATAGCATATGTAATTAATAGGAGAAATTTTATTGTATAGGAAGCAATTGATTTGGATCAGTTTTGTGGAATGATAAATATTAATCTTTTCTCCAATTCAAATTTACTCACCTGAATTGATGAGACGTACAAGAACCTATAATTCTCTTGTCTTCAGCACTGACTACATAACCAAGTGTTCTTAATGAGGCAAAAGTAATTTTGAAGTTTCTTATTCTTGTTCCAAGTTAAAAGTAAATAAAAATAACCTATTTTCCTAATTTGGTTCATCCACACAATGGCACTAATGTATTACTTTGGTAAAAAACACTTGACCATTAATTATTAATGCCGATGTACTTTAAGTTTGACAGCTATACAAAAACTTTCTGCTTCTCAAAGTAATATACTACTGGTATATGAAGAACAAAATGAAGTGCTGAAATTAGGTGCCTGTGAAATCATGGAACAGACTGATCAAGTAATCTTTCAAGGATAGTGGTAGGGTTATGAAATTAGAGACATTAACATTTTCCACATATTTAAAGATCAAACTAGTCTGTAGAGCTACAATTATACAATTCCTATTAATGAGGTCACTTTGAAATCTCTTATATGCAAGCTCCTTCTATTATTTGTAGTACCCAATTGACAGAATAGCTTAGAAGAGGTCTATTTTCTCCTCCTTCAGTTTCTCTCCTGCATCATAGGCAGCCCTGAAGATAGTTGAATAGCTCTGTTGCTCTTCTGAAAATAAAAGCTCACCTTGCAGATTTTTTGTTTTCTTTGTTTTCTTGCTTGTCTTTTTCTATTATATAAAAGTCAAGAGCCAGACGTTACTGAAGATATATTCTTAGCTCCTTATAATACTAAAATGCTTTCTTTTGATTAAGAGCATTGTAAATTATATTTTTTTTAAAAAAACTGCTTTGCTGTTGCTTAGGAACTGAGATGGACACCAGTAATCTCAATAGCTAGCAGAAAGGACATAAGGATATTTGCAACATTCTCAGGTTTATTTTAATAAAATGGAAAGGAAGTTAATATTAGAAGTTTCCAAAGAGTTAGCAATGTAATTTGATAATGTCATTATTAACAACATTCTCAATCTAGAGGTCTCTAATATACTCATACTAAAACTCCTAGCAAAATCAATGATACAAATATAGAAGCAGCACTTCAACACATCTGGAGGCACTGAAATTGGACAAACCTACTTTATTAGATTTATACTTACCGTAGATTTCATCACTGCATGCCAATATCCAACTTTTCTGGTAAAGAAAGAATTATTTTACTGGCCCCTGAAAATGCTGGCCCCTGAAACCTAACTAGGAGTTTTTGATAATCCTGGGATTTTGCTTGCAATTTTTATACAAAACATGAGGCACCCTATTTTTTTTTTTATCCAGGAAAACCTACTCTTGAGTGAAAATTTAAGCATTCATATGAGAACAGAAAGATTTTACAACAGAAAGGTTTACTATATTCATTAAAAAAAATGGAGGGGATTTGAACATGACAAGAAAGCAATTAAGTCTAGCACCATGCCTAAGAAGTTTTTTCCAGAGTAATTGAGCGCTGAAGTAAATGAATTGAAAATTCATTTCTCAGTTCATTTATACAGAATGGAGCAGTAATCTAGTTGAGCACAATGCTAGCTATATTAAGCACAGAAAGTCTGATTTTCACTTTTTGTAACATAATTTTTAACATAGTTTATAGTTTATTAGAAATACCATATGTTTAGAAAGTCTGACACCACAACACATTCCAAGTGGTCAAAAACTTATTCTATTGATATTTATCTAGCAAACCATAAATTTGAATTATTCTAACAATACTTCCACAAATAGATGGCAAATTCATTTAGTTCACAGTTGAATAGATTTTCAGAACACACAAAGAAAATCTTTCAACCTTTATAGTTCTAAAAATTGTGTATGATAATTGAATTTTTTCTGCACCTTCCATACAATTCTGGGAAAAGATATGCTTTTACATTCTGTCTGAATGTCTGTCTGCCTGTCTGTCTATCATTTATCTACATTAATCATTTCAATATGATTGTGACTGACTGAAAATATCCTAATGTCAAATGATTTTGTTTAAGGTATCAATTATCTGCAGTGATTAATCCTCAGGCATAATAGCCTCTGAAAAGAAAATCCATGATAGACAGGACTACAATCACACCTAACAAGAATTATTATTACAGTATTAATAATATTCTGTTGATATCATTCCAATAAATAACTTTAAAAATCCTAAAAATGTTTTGTTGTCATTTTTAAAAAAACATAAAGCAGCACTTTAGAAAGTGCTACTATTATAGTTGAAATATTGCACTGCCTTCTAAGTTGTGTTCATGTTGGCTACCTAAGATATATTCTTGCCCTCTCTAGTCACAAAGGCAAACTCCTGAATTCCATGAAGAATTTATCCATTTCATTCATTTGCTTCATTTCATTATTTTGCTCAGGGCAAGATAGAAGCTTGAGAAATGCATGATTTTGGGGTAACTTAGGCGAAAGGAAGGCTAATAATTAGCAGCAAACCATCCATGGAAGAAAGCTCTGTTTTTAGAGACCATTATATAATCTAAATTGTTCAAATTGGTTTAACTAAAACATTTCCCAATATTTTCCAAGAAATAACTTCTGTTTTTTCAAACTTTTCCATGCTTTCTTGAATTTTGCAGGGCATAATACAATCTGAAATATTAATATAAGGCTGTTAAGAATCTGACATTTGACCTTTAAATGCTTTGTGACTCCAATCAAAGGCTGCCCCAAACCTCTGTGCTCTGTAGAGGTCAGAGATATCCAATATGCTGGCAGCTTATTATGACTGTGCAAATCTTTTGAAGGAAGGTGCTTTGCAATATTCAGGAAGGCACAGAGCATATAAAGCAGTCACTTCTTTTCCTTGGTTCACACGCAAACTCTATTTTCTGATTCTGTTTGCAAGAAAACTGAACATAAATGGTGGTGCACATATACAGATGAGAGGCAGCTAAGAGGCAGCTGTTTTCACATAAGCCATAGCACTTTTGAAAAAAAGTGCAGCTGAATTACTGATTCAACGAAAAGTGCTTTGTAAGGTTTCCCGTGCATTGCAAAGCACCTTTTTGAAAAAGAACTTGCATATGAGCTTTATTATCATCATGAACATGCCTTATTCCTAAATGTCTTCTGATATGTTACTGACATGGAGTATGTGTGTCTATAATGACATTGTTTTCTTGGGGTAGCTAGATAATAGGAAGCTCAAAGTGTCTTACTGAAATTATACTTATGACTACTGAATTTTGAAACATCTGTTGTAATATCCAAGGGTTTCAGAAGATCTGAGAGTTATATATTAAAAACAAATATTTTTTGAAGGCCAAATGGCTCAGTTTATTTTTTAACAACCTGCATTTTCCAGATGTGTTGGGACTCAACTTTCCTGCCAGTAGTAGGCAGTTAAAGTTAACATACATCTGGAAGATGTCTAGCTATGAACAGAATAGAATACAGAGTTGGAAGGGACCTTGGAGGTCTTCTAGTCCAACCCCCTGCTTAGGCAGGAAACCTTACACACTTCAGATAAATGGTTATTCAACATCTTTTAAAAACTTTCAGTGTTGGAGCACTCACAACTTCTGGAGGCAAGTTGTTCCACTGATTAATTGTTCTACTGTCAGGAAATTTCTCCTTAGTTCTAAGTTGCTTCTCTCCTTGATTAGTTTCCACCCATTGCTTCTTGTCCTGCCCTCCGGTGCTTTGGAGAATAGCTTGACTCCCTCTTCTTTGTGGCAGCCCCTGAGATATCGGAACAGTGCTATCATGTACCCTAGTCCTTCTTTTCATTGAAGTGGACATATCCAGTTCCTACAACCATCTTCATATCTTTTAATCTCCGGTCCCCTAATCATCTTGGTTGTTCTTCTCTGTACTCTTTCTAGAGTCTCAACATCTTTTTTATATCGTGGTGACCAAAACTGAATGTGCCTTTACCAAGGCATTATAAAGTGGTATTAACACTTCATTAAAACTCTCAGTACATTCCTTAGAAAGGGATGGAAACAGGAGTGAAAAAAGTCAGAGAAATAAATTAACCTTATTATATCATCATCCTCTTTTAATGACCCCATAATCACTTGAGGTACAGTCTGGGCAACTGAAGGGATCTGAGTGTTTATTGGCCGGATGCCCTTCCTGATGCCAATGTAGAATTTTATTCAGCAGATATATTCTCAGTGTGCCCAAAGAGAAATATCTGCCTCTACCTAGGATTAATAATTAATTAATATCTGCCTCTACCTAGCCTCCTGATTGTGAGTCGAGAACTCCACCTCTAAGTCACCGCACCACTCATAGGGAGAATTAGTATGTGCCTCTATTAAAAAAAAGTACAGTGAAGATTTGTATTGGAGAGAGAGCACATTTATTGATTTTTTTTAAAATTAAATAATGGGAAGAAAACAAATCTAAGGAAACATAGCTTTCTTCTTTTTAAAAAAGATTAAATACTTGCATGACAATCCTTTTTACAGCTTTGTTTCTTAATTTCATAGAGTTAGCCCTCTTATTTTATAAGTCTAAGAACAGAAATCTTTTCAGGCAGAGCAATATTTTGCTGCAGCATAGAAGCCTAGCTTTCTCACTTTAAAAAAAATAATAAATCGGTTACTGAGAAATGAGGAAGTCATCCTGTTTCATCCTTTCTAGGGAGTGGAATTAGTATTGCATTGGTGTCAGTTCAAATCTTTCTCCCTTCAGCATTTTTGTGTGTGCTTACGTCTATGTACTAGACAGAGTGGAGTGAGAAGGGAGATATCTTTATATTTTTATTCAGAATGGCTGCAAAATAAAAGAAAAACAATAAGGCCACACGTTTTCTTCAAGGTTAACTTCAAAAACATAGGGGACATTTGAAATCACAGTAGCCTACATATTTTTATATGTTAAATCAAACATTACATTCATTTCAAATTTAATCTAGCATCTTCAGGAAATAATCTGTAGTAAATTCCAGCTCGCTATAAACCCTTTCAGCAGCTGTCAGTTTAACACATTAATTGAAAGCGAATTTCATCACAATCCAGAAGAGCTATGCCCAAGCAGATATGTCATTACACTTTAATTTGCTCTATCTAAAATATGGAATTGAAATGCTTTCAACCTATTTTCAGGAGGGAAAATATGATGGATATTAAATTTGCTATTAAGGTTACTGCAAGCATTGAAATAGTATTATCCATAAAATATCGCCTCTCTCTAACAAGTCAGCAAAGAGGGTGCAGGACAAAGAAAAGGCGCCTCCTATTGGTGTAGGAGACAATGAAAGTGATGCAAATAGCAGCAGTCCCTTGCTGCAGATGCTGTCATTGATAGCTAAATAGGAGCAGAAGGTACATCCATTCCCCCATACTCTCTTCACATTTTGCAGGACAACTTGAATGCTTCCCAAAGGTTCCTGCACAATTGCAGCAGATTGACTCTGCACCCCTGGAAAAAAGTATCTTGACAAAACCACTTTGCCTAGTTGTTTTTATCTGTTCAGTTGATCTTTGTCCTTTCCATGCAACAAATTGCCCCTGAAAAACTCTTTAAAGAGAATCGTTTTGCTTTTTTCAGAATCACATTAACAATGCATAGGCATAGTGCGCATCATAGGTTACAAAATCTGATGACTCTTGTGTTTTACTTCTCCTATAGCTATAAAATGGTTCCAGCTATTCACGGAGGTAAGTGATGACCTTGCTGAACTATTTTATGTGCTGATTTTTGCTATCAGCAATAATTCACAAGAGAAAAGGAACATAAGCCTATCCTTATTCAGAAGCAGAAGCCATATGACTGCTATTCCATAAAGCTAACTGTAGTTCTGCCTATGACAGCCTTATACATTTAAGATGTACAAATGAGGAACAGATTCCACCATTTCCTTCTGTATTTTGGTGCCTCCTTAATTATTGCCACTAAGTGTTGATTTGTCACTAAATCACATTATCAATAAACAAGATTGCTTAGGACAGGTGTGAGATGCTCCCGTTTAGTTCTTTGTCCAGCTCACACTATTAATTCCTCTCATTGCTCCACTCCTGCTTTTGGCACCTCCATACATTATTTAGAAGGCAAGGTCAGTGTGGTAGAAAAGTATCACCCCTTTATCACTTCCTTTTGGCCAACTTGCTTTCTTTTCTTATTGAAAAGGTTTACAAATTTGGAGAGTTCCATAAAACGACTTTGTTGGAGAAGGGAAACAAATGCAGACATTTGATTGGAAGTAATAATTATGATGTAAAACTAAGCACATTATTCTCAAACATACACTCACCCACAACTCCCAAATCTCTGTATGTAATTTCCCTTTATTCCAAAGATACTGATTACATTGCAGGATTTCTTTGGCCATCAATAAGATGGCAACGTGTGTTGGATTTGGCTGAACCTAAATTTTGAATAGAGGCAAATCTATAGTTTAATGAGGCAAAGCAAGATCTATAGGAAATAGCATAAAATCAAACCTCAGTGCTTTGTGAATGATTCAGGGTGCCCAGGTGCTGCAGATAACAAACTACAAAACATGGGTAGAAGGAGAAGGTGGCAGAGGAATGCAATGATTTGTAATTTCAAATCTTTCTTCTATTTAAAAGCACTTTATGGGAAGCTCTATACTCATCCCCTCTTTTGTTGCAGATAGACAGACGGCTCAGAATTCCTCTGAGCATTTTGCATAAGAAATATGTGACTGCAATGAATATATTTTGAAAGTTAATTTATATTTTGAGAGGTTCACCAAATTTATCCCATCATTATTATTTTTTTAATTAATTTTCAAGTTTGACAACACATCTTGAGAGTATATTGTATACATTATAGGTATCAGGTGACAAATGTGCATTTAATTTTCCACATTTTTCAGATTTATCATGAATAATAATATTTTAAGTTAATATGCTGACCAACTCCCTGTGACTCTGGGTGTCTTATGCTAGTTTTGGAATAAGAATCTTAGAGCTTAACTCCTCTTAGCTCCTCAGTTCAAGAGGTATTATTGACCTTACTGAAATCCTGGTTATTTGAATGGCTGTTTGCTCACTTTTAATTTTGCAGGACACATACAATATATAAAATATGTTTTCATAGTTACTTGTGAAAACCTCTGCTATGGGATAATATTAGTTTAAAAATAAATTTTAGTGTGAACTAGACCTGATACAAGGTTACTTTGGTTCAACTTACATCTAAGGAAGCCATTTTAATATCACACAGAATTTTAAAATTAGTTTGATTTATCCCAAAGTATTTATTGGAATTATAGTAAACTTAAGCACTTATTTGATTTATTCACTTATTGGCATTATAGTAAACTTAAGCACTTATTTGATTTATTCAGCAGAGATGCAATTTCTGGGTTAAGTTAGAAGTTTTAGAAGAATTATCCATAGCAGTGACCTTTTTTGAAGGAAGATAATAGTAATTATTTACTTAACCTTTGGAATAATGCTTGAAAACCCTATCCTGGTAAGAGTTGTTGCATTAAAGGTATAAAATTCATTTCCTATTACCTTAAAATGGAGATTATAAAGCAACAAAAAGTGCCTTTATGTATTCTGAATATTTCAGAGAATGTTTATTAACAGTGGTTATAATCACTCTGTTACTGTAGATTAAATTGGAAGATGGAATATGGTAGCCACTTCTTGTTATTCTGATTCCCCTTTTCTTTACTGTACACAGGACACTTGTAATTCCTTACCAGCTCATTACTGCCATCATCATCAAAATCTTCCTCTATCCCGTCTGTCATTTCTTCTCCGTCCCCATCCAGCCCTCCTTCAATAGGCTCTTCTGTAGAGTTGTCGGCATTCTCTGATATGCATTCTTCTTGGATCAATTCTATACTGTCTTCTATTTGCTTCTTTTGGATTTCTGGAATATACAAATTACCATATAATTCCACTTGCATGGCATTATCACAACATTTATGGATTATTAAAAACTAACAGAACAAGGGACAAATCATATAATTAGTAGCACATTTATCAATTAAACCACATAGTCAATTAACTTATAGATATTGATTTAATAGAAGGGAGTAGACAATAAGTTAGTATAGAGATCCATTCTCGTCATCTGGAAACAATGAAAGTTGAGATAACAAGTGGATAGTATAGAATAATCGTTCATACCAATATGAACAGTGATAATAGAGAACCTGAGATGAGCTTTGGTGAAAAATTGTATAATATTCTGATTAAATCTAGTCCAAAGAAAAACAATTCTGTTAACTCCCATGAATAAATGGGAATAAAATAAGACAGTACAAAAAAAGTTATTGAGCAATTTGGTGTCCTAAGAATGGTGACTACAGAGTAACTTCTTAGAAAAGATCTCTATATGTGTGCTCTATAAGCATGGGCTTATTCTATAATAAAGGAATTTTGCCATTTTATTTGCTCTGAAATTTCTGTTTTAAAATTACTTTTTTATTTTGGAGCAATTCAAAATCTTTGAATAGCCATTGCAAAAAAAATAAAAATAAAGTCCTCGTGTTGTCTATTACAGCTGTTGCCATTGCTAATGGTGGCTTTGATTTTTTTAAGACACACTGAGTTACAGATTTCAGTAAAGAATGCATAAAGATACCTTATTTAATTTTAATTATGAACTGTTTCACTTTTGGATATTTCTTTCATTCCTTCTCTATTTCCATTTTATTTTATACTGACGAATTATTTAGCCAATTTATTTCCATTTTTAATTCAACTGGACAACAGAACATTTTTTTTACACTGTCTTGCAAAAAGTTCAATAGGGATTGATTCAAAAATGTACAAGACATTCTATGCTCTTTTTTTTTGTAAAGAGGGGAATCACATTAACATTACATGTGTGTCTAACTAGATGGGAACTCCAGTGAATCAAGATTTAATCTGAAATAAGCAGAAGAAAAAGACAAATGTTTTGGAGAAACCCTATTGAAGGACTGGCCTATCTTGAGTCTTCTTGACTCAATCAGTTTCATGAATCAGTTTAAATACTGCCTCCTCTATTCAAAAGAATACTCAATAAAACTACAGTTTTCCTGCAATGTGGGTTATAAATACATCCAATGTGTGTCAGTCACCAGAACCAGAAGTTTAGTCTTCCAAGCTGTAGCCTTTTGACTTGTGTTGGAGCCCACCCTCAGGAAATTTCTCTCTCACCAGAACATTCTCATTTTGAAGCATTCTGGTGAGAGAGAAGTTCCCTGAGGAAGGGGTCCAACACAAGTCTGAAGACTCCAGCCTGGAAAACTAAACCTCTGGTCCTGGTGACCAACTCAGATTGGATCTACCGTACATATAATCTGCATCATAGGAAAACTGGACTTTTGTTGTTAGGTCTCTCTCACCAGAGGTTTAGTGTTCTGAGCTTTCAGACTCATGCTGAAAAATTCTGGTGAGAAAAAAATTCATTTAGGATGAGCTCCAGCACCAGTCCAAAAGCTTGGAAGTCTAAACCTTTAGTCCCGGTGTTTGACCCAGATTGGTGTTAATGCTGAAGCAAACCTGGCTGAAGCCATCTTGTGCTGCCTCATAGCTGCCATGAAAGCTGAGAGGGGGAAGGGAGGGGGGAAGTAGATAGCCCACCTAATGGTCAAAACAAAAAGTTTGCATGTGGGAACCAAGGGCATCATAGCAGGTGGCTGTTGAAGGAGGAGAGAAGCCTGCCAGCTATATTAATTGAACAATGTGACAGGTGACACCTGGGAGGGGGGATTTTGACTCTTAATTAGGTAAAAACCCTGGAAACTTTTAGAGTTGGGTTTCACTTGCTGTGCCGATAGGATGTATCCAATAAACACGTTCTTTGAGCAATCTACCTCCTTGGAGTTCTGCTTTAAATGGGTGAGTTACTTAGAACGCTGACAATTGGATTCTGCAACGGGAAACATATATTTGCCTTCGTTCATATATTTACTACATGATGCAAAAAGTATGACTGTTCTTTCCTCCATTCCCTTGGCATATTCCTTACACATTTTAAAGCATGCTAAAAAGTTTCAGATAGCCAAGTTTCAAAATAAATTGCCTTTTGAATTTAGTTTTAACTGGTGGATCATGAATAAGAATTTTTAAGGTTTTCTTCAATTTTTAGATTTACATCTAAATCTAAAATTGAGGAAAACTTAAAAACCTTAACTTAAACTCAAAATTTCAGAACTTAAACACCTTTATTTACCCACCGCCAACCTCGAATGACAATATCATTGATTTTACAGTGGATTAATTCATGTTTTAATGAGTTACTAAGAGTTATAGGCAATTTTCTTCTACCTGATTGAGCTTTCTGCTGCTTTTCAATCTTCTCCAGTCTCCCTAGCAAAGAATCAATTTTTGTTTTGATCTGCGTTAATTCCTTCTTGATTGTCTGCAATTCATCTGATTTCACTGAAAATGAAAAAAGAATAGAATGGCAATAATAAAATGGTATAATATTATTTCTTTTAGGAAGAACACATCTTCTATTAAGTAAAGAATACACTGCTAATATAATAAACATTTTTGGGAGGAGGATAGTCACCTACACATCTAATTACCCTTGGTTATTTTTAAAATTAAAGACGTTAGTTCACAATGTAGGTTTGAACTCACATTTTGATCCTGATGAAGAAGCTCCACTTGATATAGACCTTGATGTCCCTTTCATGGAGAAGACCCCTTTTCCTCTGCGAGTTGCTGTGACTGTTACTCGTGGGCGTTTCAATGGAATCACAGCACGAGGTGGGGCAGGAACCCGGCTGTGGTAATCAAATAACCTTAAGAGAAATAGAAACAGAGGCTTCATAATGTTCAGTTATAATTTTACGTTAGATTTTGCATACTAAATTCTACTCTTTCTTATTAGGAATCTGACCTCCAAAATCTCAAAAGGTTTAGTTAAATTAGATTTCAAGAGTTCATCAATAAGCATATTTATATTTCATTACAGTCAATGTGTTGCTGTTTTAGTAATGAAGAACATCATTACTAAACTGACTTTACCATAAGTGAACATTTTATCTACATAATTTTATTTCAGCCAACTAATTATGAAAGTATTAAACTCTACTTTCCCTTGCAGATATATTTAGACTACAATTCCCAGTACTCTCAGGCATCATGGCCTTCCATAATATCGCTACATATAAAGAGGACATAGCTAAGCTGAAACATATTCACAAATTAACAGAAGTATGTCTAACTCACAAAGAGAATAATAAGAACTTCAAGTATTTTGGAGAATGATAAACGTCTTTCCTTGATACAATCCCATTAACTTCTAACCAAATTTTAACTGTTTATGGGAATAAAAAACATTCTTTGCACTTATATTGTACTATCAACTACAAATCATATTGGTTTTAAATATATGGTTGTCATTAGATAAACATGCATAATTCTGTGCATACGTTCCTTGGACAAGTTAGAATTGCTTATCGGTAAACATGCCCCCAAATGATTTACATATATATGAAAAATCAACAGGAGATGCCAATACAGAAATACTGTATTTCTGATTTGTAGTGTATGTTTGAAAAATTTTGCAATATATCTAAGTAGCCTGGCTTGTCTTTTTCTATAATAGTACTAATATTCTGTACTAATATTTATATGCACACAGAGTTCCCAGCACAACTACCAGCAAAGCTCTGCAGTTCTTTTCATGGCTAGGAGAGCTTGGCTGAGTGAAAACCTTGTCCAGAAGGTAAAACAACAACAGCTGACAGCTTATTAAACTGACAAAATCTGTTTTCCATATAAGTAACTAACTATAAGTATTTAATTTAAGAATATTTAAACTTAACTGTAATTAAGACTATTAAAAATGTACATCAACATATGCATTAAAGCAAGCTTATCCTTTCATCTAAAACAGGGGTGTCAACTCGATTTCATTGAGGGCCACATCAGGGTTGTGTTTGACCTCGGGGCCGATGTGGGCATGGCCAGTATGATGTCACTCATGTTGGGGGTGTCTGTGGTGGTCTGAGTGCTCTACCATGAAAACAGGCTCCTGGGCCCCATTTTCGGCCATGATGGCCTCCTGCAGCCCTTTGCCAGTGAGTTCAGGGGGCCAAGAGGGCTGCAGGAGGCCAAAAAATGGAACCTGTGTGCAGCCATCCCAAGCTTCGTTTTCGCTAGCAGAGCCACTGCAGGCTGCCACTTTGCTGTTTCCAGGGAAGCTCCATGGGCCAGATCTAAGCATCCCACAGGCTGGATCTGGCCTGCAGGCCTTGAGTTTGACACCCCTGATCTAAAGGATCTATCTAAAAAGCCTTTCCTATTGACTCAGTTCAATTTTCCCACAATTCCTGATGTTTTCTGAGAAGACCAATGCCCTTTCCCCAACCTCTTATAATAATTAAAAATGCAGTTCATATATGCAAAGACAGGAACAAAGGTACACATACCGACTGTAGAAATCATCTCTGTAATAATCATAATCAAAGACATAACCACTGCAAGAAGAGCAAAGAAAAATCCCATGAAGAGATGAGGCAAATTATACTAGTTAATAATAATTTGTAAGGCTTGAATCACAATAATATTTTATATCTCAGTTTGGTCTTATAGTTAAGGCACCAGGCTAGAAACCCGGAGAATATGAGTTCTAATCCCATCTCAGGCATGAAAGCTTTCTGGGTGACTTTGGCCCAGTCACTTGTTCTCAACACACCTGACTTCACAGGTGGGAAAATAGGAGAAAGGAGAATTAGATATGCTTGCCACCTTGAGATAATTATTAAAAAAAAAAATAATAGCAGGGAGGGGTGGAATCTAATTTTTAAAATAAAAATAGAAGTAATATCCTATATTTTGTTTATGTACTAATAAAACTTGTTGGCATAATCTTTAATTAGATGAAATGATAGGACAACATTTTTTTAAACCAAAAATGGTTCATATGGTCTAATATATAAGTATGTCCAAAATCTGAGACCCATGACTCCCAAGAAAATGATGTTTTAGAAAGTTGTGGTTATGGTCATGTGATCATTTTTTTTTAATGTTTTTAATGTTTCATGACAGTGTCCCAGCCAGAGGAAGCTTGTGGATGTTATTTTCTTTACCCTCTGCTAGACAGAATCCAATAATAAATTCAAATAGAATTGTAAAAATCAAACTGAAGTTAAGGTGCATGGGTATTTTAAGCTTGAGTTGTATCAAACCCACTTCCCCGAAAACATGTGACTCATGAAGAAATATTTGCCTCGATTCTCTCCCTCGTCTACCACATTTAAAAAGTTGTTCTTCAAAGCCTGCCAAATATCAGGAAAATGTTTCTGAAATTCACCCGAGCTATAGTGGGGAGCAGAGATCAGGTCATTTTCCTCGATATGAATGTCTAGGCATCAAATAATCCCTTACTTTTATATCAAACAAAAATATTTGTTGTGTGGTCTTGATATATAACCCAAATGGTAAACACATGAATAACAAAAACAAACTAATAGTATGAACTTTCAAAATGAATCATTTTCTTTTCTTTTGAAAAATCCTGTTGAATCACTCGCATCCTCACTCCTCTCTTTCCATGGTAATGAAAATAGAAAATAAGAAAAATAAGGAAGGAGTAGATGAAAAAGTTGAAAACTGAAGATGGAAATTTTTCTGAATCATAATAGATAGAGACTGTTCCACTGGCATAATATGATGCATTATTTGCCTAATTCACAGTCATATGCAATTTACAGTCTATGTTATTGTATATAATAAGAGACACATGCAACTTCCTTATTTCTTATGGAATGATTACTGTATTGAATTCTTTTAATTTAAAAATGTTGAGTTCCTTAGGCTATTGCTATGTGGAATTGTCCCTTTTATTTGTAGACAGGTTTCACAGCCTGTATATATATTGTATATTCTACAGCAACTGTTGCCAAAATGATGTGTACCTGGTGACATCAGCACACAAATGCCACAATTATATACTTATAACTTGACACCAGACACAAGTATGCAAGTCACAACGTTTGTGTTATGACATAGATTTTATCTTTTGTCTTACACCCTCAAAGCCCGACAAATGTTTATGATTTAATTTCAAACAAATTGGTTACTGAATGTCCCATACAGTTTGTTTTAGCCTTAATTCACTCATGCGGTAGGAATTAGAATTTTTATCTCTCCTCTTCAATACCAATTTTGGCCAAGTAGAACACTTGTAGAAGAATGCCTACTATTGCTATTTTTTAAAACACAGAATAATCTTTTTAAAAGACATTCATTTTATGCAGATTCAAGTAGAAGCTTCCTTGTACACAGAAAAAGTTACTTAGAATAAGTTTGCTTAAATGCACATACAGTAAGTTCGCAAATATGACAATATTTTCTATTTTCCATACTACCAGAAAATGGTATTTATCCCATCTCATCTACAGCAGTCACCTCTTTTTAGCTAATTTTCCTGTACTAAACTCTGACAACCTTAAAATCATAAAATGAGAAATAGTGTAAGCATAGGCAAACAAGGATGGGAAAAAAAAGTTCAATTCAGCCAGCGACTGACTAACATGAGTCTTTTCTCCTATTATTACTATAAAGCAAGGTGATGTAATAATATTCATTAAAGTCTCCTTTAGGTTGGGCTCAGCTTCTGGAGACTGCAGAAATACATCCATGCACCAAAGTACTTTGTCACAGCCTTCTTCCAGGATTTTTTTCTGTCTTCCTGGATTTCTTGGATTTCCACCCAAATGTTAACTAATCCTGACCTGGTTGACCAGTGCACAGACACAGTCAAGTATCACTGCAGACCAGACTTCTTTTGTTGCACTAGGATGACAAACTTCTTTCCATTATCAGTAAATACACAAAAACGCCTTTGGATGCATGTCTTAGAAAATGTTGTTTTATATTTTACTGAACTCTTTTGACTATTTTTCTTAGCTGTGGATAAAATTCATAGACAATTCTGTGAAAAACAAATGCTGTCTACATCTGTTCTTTCAAAGGTGGCTGGATGTGAGGTGTTCTATGTGGAATTGGGAGATACAAGCAAGTTAAAGATTTTGCTGCTGTAGCAACCTCCTGTTACTTAGCTAGATCCTTTCCTGAGCTTTTCAACTTTGAACTGGGCCAAGTGGTAACTCCCAGGTTCTGTATGTTGGTGGATTTCTACCCTTATAACTTTGGGACGGGAAGAAGACAGTTGGCATGGAACTGCAATGGAGGAAGGGAGAAATGCAACAAATAAAATCCAATAATGTGTGATCAATCTTCCTTTTATATAGAATTTTTCTTTTCTTTCTTTCCTGTGCCATTTCCAGTCCCATCTCAATTTGTTTTCAATAGTCCCCAATTTCCTACTCTGCATGTAAAAGGATTATAGAGAAATGAATAAATCATTCTAATGAAAAATGCTCTCTTAGAGACAAAAATTAATTGGATATAGTCCTGCATAAGTCAACCTATGTATATATGTGTGTGTGTGTGTGTATGTACGTATATGTATGTATATATATGTGTGTGTGTATGTATATGTATATGTGTATATATATATATATATATATATATATATATATATATATAAAATTCAGCTTTGTTCGGGCATCAGACGAAGACTATACAGAAGCCTGATGATGGCAGATGAGATTCTGCCGAAACGTTGCTACAACTTTAAAAGCACAACTATAATGACGTGGGAAAATACCCAAACAAAGCTTAATACCATACATGTAAGTACTCGCGAAAACTTAAGAAAACACACACACACACACACACACACATATATATGATAAATTTGTTAAAAGTTACATAAATCTTGATTGCTTTTGCTGCCAATGATAAATAGCACTTAATTTGCAACAAGCTAATAGTTGTAATGAATTGACATATTATAAAGTGAAACATGATTCTTTCCAAACGTAAGTAAAGTCTCATTTGTTTTACACTATTTAGTTGTTGCACCTGATTAAACATTCACATAAAGGATTCTATGAGGATCAGAGACATGAAAATTATTAATTCATCTACAATCATGCAATATACTGCTCACTGTATTATTTTGCTCATGATGAAGATCTGCAATTACCCCCAGACTAAATTTTGCAAAACTGTACATTTCTATTTAAAGCAGGAAAAAGATAATATTCTCATACTATGGCATAAAAACTATTTAGGAAAATGCTGCATTCAGAGAAAATGGACTGCCATCAAATGAAACCCATCAAGATTATAACGAGAATGTTTGAAACTGAAGCCACAGTAAAGCCTAAGGATGTCTAATGCATGAGTTGTTACAATTGAGAGAAAGAGAAAATAGAAATGTGCAACACTGACTACAATAATTTATGAAGCTGTTTATTCCTGGTATAAAAAGTATGTGCCTGGCATACTGTTGTACTTTAGGTTCTGGCTCTTTGACTAAGGTTGGGCTAAGTTTCTCTCACTTGGCCTAGGACTGAGGAGAGGGTGGCACCTATCTGTGAAAGATGCTTGGTTATAACTTCTGAATATCCACCCATAGGAAATTTAGGATTTTGATGATGGAGCCTGCTGTTGCAGAAGTTCCTTCCTCTAGACCAGTGGCTCACAATCTTTTGGACACCAGAGATTCATTCTATGGAGAGAGCTTTTTCCATGGATTGGAGGAGGCATTGTTTAGCATGCTACCTGCATCCTGCGGATGCAACTTCACTTGTTTGCATGGCCCAGTTTCTGGCATGTGCAGCCTGGAGCTGGTGCATAGACCAGGGACCCCTGCTCTAGACCAAACAGATAAATCAATTTCTTCTTCCAAAGATTTCAGACAAAGGTTGCACTGCCATTATCTTGACCTCTGGGTCTTTGAGGTTTTCCCTGTCTTCATTTTTTATAGGCCTAAAATGTGCTATTGCAGGAGCATCAATGGGATTTTCAGCATGTCCTGGGCTTCTTGAGGCAAAGTATACAGTTTGGCAGTTTGTTTGTCACTCTTTGCTTCTCCTAATTGGTCTTAATGACTCAATTTTTGGGAAATATAGGCATGATGGGAGGTGAGTAGATATCAGAAAGGCTTTGCCACCAGTAGGGAAGTCCTGAGGGTCTTTGAGGCTTAAGATCTTGGAATTTCATGTTACAGGAAAGCAAGAATTTTTCTGAAAACAATAGCTTTTTGCTATTGCCTTTGCTCCTTGGTAAAGTTTAATTACTTGGAGATGCTGTTCCTGGAATTCCCAATCAAGCTGGAAAATTAAATCTCAGCTCAGCTAGAGGGGTGCTATCTAATGACATAAAAAGTAAACAAACATATTTATAAGAAAATTACATGAAGGATGCTTAAGAGTAGGAGCTGTTTTCCAAGAAATAGGCCAATGATGCTAAGAGCTGGCATAGTCTAATTATTATTTCATATTGATGGCATTATTACTACTATAACTTCACAAGTTATATTACTGTTTTTCCAAATGGTATATATATTGGACAGTTTTCCCAATACAATTAATTATCCAGTTGACATGATCAAAGAAAAAAATGATACTATGTTTCCACTCAGGTGGGGGAAGCGTATGTGATATTTTATGATGAATTTTCTGAAACTCCTAAACAACAGAATCTGAGCTCCGTCTGAAAATCTGAAATTTAGTGCATCTTTTACAGCAATACTAGATGAGTTTTTAAGGAAGATAGAGGCATGATTCTCTTGTGAAAATTTGTCATATTCTTTCCTGTTACAGCCTTCCAACTTTGTGTCCTCCAGGTGTGTTGAATTTCAATTGCCATAAATTTTAGTTAGCTAGTATAGCCTTTGGGAACTGAAATCCATTACAACTGGACAGCATATGATTACAAAAGGCTACTCTAAAATGACAATTCAATTCTTTTAGTGGTATAGGATTAAAGCTGAAACTCATTAAAAATGCAACAACACTGATTTTCAAATACACAAAAGTGGACTAATCTCATCGTGACTATGTATACTTTATAACCAAATCCTTAACAGGATATTTTTTTACCCACAAAAAGGTAAAGATATCAACTTGGAGAAGGCTGATTTACATAATCAAAATTAAGTGGTATAAAGTTGCAGATTCTTCTAGAACCATTTTATTCCAAAAGTTAAAGTGTCCATTTGATGACAATTACTTTGTTAAGGAAAAGAAAGGAAAGAGTAAAATTGGTGAAAGTGGTGGAAAATGTTTTTAACTTGTATGTTAGCTCACTTCAATTTAACATTTTTCCACTGCATCTGTTGGTGTATTTTTATCTGTCTGACTGTTGTTTTTTTCATTCTTAAGCATAGTTATTTTGAGGTCTACATCAGAAGAAGTTAAAATATATGTGAAAAAGAAAGCCTAAAAACCACCCACTCTGCCTCTACTGGTAATTACAAACTTCCTATACGATTACCAGATTTGACATTCTGCTTTTTACAAAACTAAATTGGAGGATTATTTTTAGTGAGTTTTGTTCAGCTTTTTAACTGAAAAATTGCCTTTGAAATGTTTGTTGTTCGGAGGATCCTCTGCAAGAAAAGCGCTTTTATATGTCTTAGGGCTTCTGTCCAAGGAACAATGAGATTGCAGGACAACACAGGGGGTAACCTCGAGGTAGCCTCAACGACTCTTTGAAAGAATGCAAATGGCCAGCTGTCTGCAAGGTGTATAAATCTTTTCATTCCCTACCATCCAGTCAGAGCTGAAGAAGCTTCTTGAATGAGAAGCAAAACATCTTCAAAGAAAAATCAGAATATCCCAGTTGGCTCTCGAAAAAGCACCTTTGGGACAACCATGACCTGGATGACTGAGAAACTCCATAGACATCTGGTATTTATGTTATTTAAGTTGTGATAACAATACTGATAAATAATCAGGATCTTGATTCTTTGATAAGACTATTTTTTAGACAAGTAAGCAATGGGAAATGATATTGTACTGATTGTACTGATATAGGTATTCCTTGACATACGACTGGAATTTTTATCATAAATCATGGTGGTTACAAATCAAAGTACCTGACTGGACCCAATTTTATGACTCTGTTTATGGTGGTCATTAAGGGAATCAGTTGCAGCAACTGCAATTTGCTGTCACATGACTATAGAATGCTGCAATCAGCTGTAAATGCAAGCTAATTGCCAAGTATCCAAAATGCAGACATGTGACTGTGGAGGGGGTACACATTTTACAATGGCTGTAAGTATGTTTTATGGATTGTTAAACATCTGGTCATAAGGACTGAAAATTTCTGAAAAAGATATTCTGCCCCAAATATGCTACATTTTTCTATTCATTACTGAAGATCTCCAAAAGTAAATGAAATACTACCACTACTCCTTTTGAGCTGAAAGCTACTGAAATATATAATTATGCAGTTATTTTTTTTTTTAAATTAAGCCAAAATGTTCTTACTCACCCAACAGAAAGGAACGGTTCTTTTGATTCAAGTCTGTTAAATAAAATAACAAAAATAGTTAAATTTGCTGAAAAAATAATGCAATGCACAAGGTTTACATTGTATGCTGTAGCTACTCAAGATAAAGATCTTAGAATATCCAGGTCTCAATTCAAGGTCTCACAAAGGCCCAGTACCCCAATAATCCAAATTAACATTCTGGAGTGTGTGTGTGCCTTTCCTCATTTCAGAACCATGATTTTGAATGGAGCAGCTTATGTCTGGTTCCCTTACAAGAGATAAATCATTACCATTGCTAGATCTGTCACTTCCCAGATCAGTTTATCGAAAAACACACTGTGCTAACCCTGAATTGTCCGTGGTGCCATCTCAGCTATAGTTTGGAAGTCCTCCCTTCTTCCCTCCCTTTCTGAAACACAACATTTTTTCCACAGAATGACAATTTAAGCCTTATCTTCTTGCTAGCAGAGGTGTAAATAATCTTTTCTGATGACTTGCTACCTATGACCAAGAAAATCCAGGATCTAGTGTTAATTTTGAAGGATACTTTGAAACAGTCTAATATTCTAATTTATTTCTTTAGACTATTGTGAGGGTCAAAGAAGTTGGAGAGATCTTGAACTCGGTGGTGGAAAACAAAATATAAATAAATAACTTTTCCAGAAGATAATAAAATCACCACTTTTAGAAATACGTAATGAATATAAATGATAAGATTTCACTAGGTTGCTAATAAATGCAACTGGGTATGTGTTTCCCTGGGAAAAATAGAAGAAATAATTTATGTGTGATGGCCTGTGGATAAAACTATAATTAAAAACAGTTGGAAATCCATTCTTATGAACTGAGATTCAATTTGCTCAAAATATGGCTGGCCTCAGTTTGACCCTCTTTGAGTGTAAATGGTTTCAAGACATTTGTGGTGATACAGTAAATTATTTAAAAAAAAATGTTAGGCAAGGGAGGAACACAATTATCTATTGGCCTTTCATTTAAATTGATCTTTAAATTAGTAATTCAGTGCCTTGAAGCTAAAATAAAAATGTTGAAGTCAAACTGGTATATGGAAGAGTGTATACTCTTAGAATGATATTTATGCATGTAGTATCCATGGTAATTCAGAAACTCAATTTTCTCAGAATTCTTCATGAACATCAATACTACATAATTTTCATGCAATTGTTACCCATCTTCTTTTTAATATAGACCAGCAACCTCAGCAACTTTTAGCCTTGTGGACTTCAACTCCCAGAATTCCCCAATAAGCATTAACATTGGATTGAGAAACTGCACTAAACCATGAATTGCTAGAGCCTGCTTCCGATTTCTTTTGCTATTTCCTTTGGAACCTGATCTATAGTTGCTTCTGACCTCAAAACACATTTGCCTCTCCTTTTCTGGAGGAGAAAAACACATTCATTTGCTGTTTTAGTTTGGCTCGATTCAGATCTGACCTCTGACTTTTTCAGTTAACCACGTTCAGGCCTAATTTGCAGGGCTCTGGCAGCAGCTACAGGGTAAAGCACAGAGCAAAGAATTGGGCAGAAACTGGGTGAGCTGGAATTTAACCAACAGTCCCTTTCCCTGTTTTGTTGTCCTCTCCTTTATCTATGTAATGGGTCATCTTTATCAAACAATTATCTGCCATACTTTTGAGTTTGGAACAATAATAACTGATTTAATAGATATTTCAGTAATAATTGTAACAATATAATTTGCATCAAGTATTTGCACCAAGACAAATCCCTTGTGTGTCCAATCACACTTGGCCAATAAAGAATTCTATCTATAAATAAGCATAATTATATTGGCACGCATTTTGGGTATATGAGAAGACTGTATTGAAAAAAATATATCAGGAGAATTATACAAATACCTTATTTTATTTTTTCCCTCCACTGGATGGATTAGTTTGTCTAATTATCAATGCCAAATGCCACCTGTAAATCAGATCAAAATGGATCCAGATATGTCTGGGGTGACATGGTGAGCATCTGCTCAAGCACCTTCATTATTATTTTATTACAAAAGATGGGAGGGGTTACTCAGAATACAAAGTCAAGTGAGAGTTGATGAAATGATCTGATGCTAGGATGTTTATTATGTTATAAGCTGACAGATGCATTCCTGAAAGTTTAATAGAATAGCTGCTTGGGAGACTCTTGAAATACTTCTGACCACAGAGGCCCATTGTTAGCAGAGGTCTTCTTTGTATATTGTTCTAAACCATGGAACTTTTTTAAATATAAAATTGCATTGAAATAAATTGTTTCTGACACTCAGTAACCCTGGGAACTTTAACCTGTACTAAAAGCAGTTGTCTGGAGACCCAATAATTCATATGAGCTCTCAAATATTCTTTCTTCTAAAATGACAAGTGCAAAAAAGAGGTCTAGGAAATGAAAGAAGTAGCTACTGGCATCTGGTCACTATTTCTTGCTTAACATGTCTGAGCCACTCCTACTCATGAGTAGGATAAAATAGATAATAGACTCCCATCAGGCAGTTCAAACTTATGTAGAATTGACCTATCTCATAAAATGCTTGGGGTGCTGAGTAATTAACTGAAACTGCATTGCCTCAAACATCTGAGGAACTCTATATGTGGCTGCAACTGTGATAAACCTATCATACATAGAAATTTCATTCAGGTGACAAGAAGTTGAAGATTTAGATAAGAGTCATGGTGCATAGTGGTTAGAATGCAGTATTGCAGACTAACTCCGTCCACTGCAGGAGTTTGATCTTGATTGGCTCAAGATTTTACTTAGCCTTCCATTCTTCCAAGATCAGTAAAATGAGAACCAAAATTTTGGGGGCAATATGCTGACTTTGTAAACTGCTTCGAGAGGGCTATAAAGCATTATGAAGCAATATATAAGTCTAAATGCTATTGCTATTATTTAATTTGTGAAACATATCTTTACTGCTTGAAATCAGCCAAACTAGTTCGTTTACAGAAATGTCAATCTTTAGGGGATAAAGGAATGGTGCCAGTGGGTATCCCTGTATATACGATTTAGGTAGAGAAGTCCTGAAAAAGGCTGAAAGAAGCATGGCAAGAGAGGTTTTGGATTGAAACCAAGCTGCAAGTTCTAAAAAAAAAAAGAATGCTAAGAGTTGACGCCATTTATTTCCAGCAAGACTTCTCTGCCAACGGGTAGCCGAATAGTCAGTTATTCAACAAGGGTGAATATTTTACCAAGAAACATTCACTAAAACTTCAAAAAACACTTCATAGGTTTTTAATCAATTGGATAGCTTACCTGTAGAGAGCAGAAAGTGGTCGCTTAGTTCCCAGCTTAGGTCTGTATGGTTTTGGCTCCCCTGCCATGTTAATGTCTGAAAATAAGCATGTTGCATACCTGAATTAAAATGCAGCATTGAGAGAAAGAGACAGGGAGATCATATGTAATAATGTATAACAATGGAGGGAGTATTGTAGGAACAAGTTGGCTCTTCGTCTGCAGATAAATTGCTTTGGTCTCTCAAACTCTATATTCTGATTTATGCATAGATCAGACCTTAAGATCTAGTTCTTCAGGCCTAAAAAACAGAACATCCTTTTTGGTTTCCAGGAGAAAGTAGTGCTATAGATATTTCATTTGACTGCCAACATTGTCACCTTTCCCAAAATTCACACAAAATTCAGCGACAAAAAATATTTTTGATAAAATATTCAGAGGAAGAAAGCTAATAGATATAAGGATCTCTATTTTTCACTTTATAAATGATATGAACTTTATATCATCAAATTGTACCTGTCAATAATTTTGACCTAAATTGTGTGATTATTATCTTGCTTCTTTTTAATAGTTCTGTTCAGACAAATATTTTTGGCAAAGAGAAAATATTATCTTCAAATGGGGAGAAAGATAGAGAACCACATAAGGGAGAATAATTATACACTTGCTTATAAAACATCACAGCATAATAAATCACCCACAATAATTTTCTTACAAGCAGGGACTTTTAAAGGGAGTTCCCAAAATTAACAAATGGAAGACTATAATATCTATTCCTCTGATATTATTCTAACCACAAATTTCTGTTATTATTATTTTTAAAGGGGAAAAATAAAAAAATAAAGAGATGAAGATGGTGCTTAATTTCCTTCTATGTCACTCTGAATAATGAGCCAAAAATAAATAAAATAAATAACTAAATAAATATTAGAAAATCAATTTCAAATTAATATTTGTGGAGTTTGTGGTTGCATTCTCTGATTCTTTTAGAACTTGGACCAGTATACAATTTCACGGAAGTCTAGTTAATAAATTATAATATCTATATACATTATCACGTGAAGAGTTAAATTAGTTGTGTTTAAATTAGTTGAATATATATTCACTAAATGAATTCATTTAATTTTTTAATGGTTACAAATGGAATTTTATATTGAAGAACTCTAAGAAACCTTTTTCATCCATGCAGAAGTACCAGATTAGTAGGTGTTTCTCTACTGGTTGGTGATATGAAGAAAGAGACAAAGGTGTTACTAGACGAACAAAACAATTATTTCCTTGGCTATTATGAATGTCACATTTCTATGCAGCAGAAATAACTTTGAAAAGATTTAAGTAGCAAATTTAAATCAGCACTGTTTAGGTCAGATGAGGAATAGGTAGATAGCATCTTAACTCAATAGTGATAAGATCTTTTCAATCTCATTTTCTGCAGTTTCTAGGCCTTATAAGACTGAGACAAACATTTGACAAACATATGAATCTGAGTCTTTATTCAGCTTTCTGCACAGATTTATTCTTTATGTATAAGAACTATATGTTTTGATTCTCATTACATGTCACTAGAAAACATTGATGGACAGTAAGAGATTGCTATATTTAAATTTATTCTTGCACTCATTGTTCTAAAAGAAAACATTTCATTAGAATTTTCTCTTTCTGAACGTCTTCATTTTTCATTTATCGACCCCGATTTTATCTGGTTTTGATTCTTCACATTTCTATTGTTAATATATACAACTACTTTGCATATTAGTTATTGTTATCCCTGAAATAAGAGGCTTACTCTCCTTCTGTTAGATTTGGACCAATGTCCTAATTTGCACTACATAAGATATTGCTTTATGTTATTGTCTACTAATTGACATTTCCAGTCACCAATTTGTTTTGTTTGTCTTTGATATACCCTGTTTATATTGTTTTTAATTTGGTTGCAAACTGTCCAAAGTCATTTGTGAGTTGGGTGGGCATACAAGTTGAATGAATTAATAAGGTAGAACTTTGTATTTTGTATGTTCCATGTATATTCTGATATGTGGTATGAAGAGTTGGACATAAGAAAAATGTTGGTATGATATGTAAATAGAGAACATTTAACTTCTAAAAGACATTTTGCCTCATCAAAATATGATTTTTAAAAATTATGTGGGGAATTTGTTTGACTAAAGCCACACAGTAATGAGATTTTTGCAGGGTAAATTTAATTAGCTATATGATACACTGAATTTTTAAATAAATTTGTCACCTTAAAGGTTAACTGAAGGTTAAATCTTCTTCTCATATATATCTGTGAGGATTTTAAAGCTGTGTCATTAAAAAAATCTAACAATTCTCTCAATATTATAATAAATGATAGCAGAATGTTTTTACCTGTGCAAGACATCTATATGGAGTTTGTGTACCATAATTACAATGGAAATTTCATCCAGTGACCTTTTATTATAATTGGTCCCTTCCACAGATTTTTAATATGGCAGTTTTAAGGTCACTTATTCCCAGTATACAAATATATGGCTTAGTAATATGTTGAAAACATGCAATATTTATGAAATTGGAAGAAAAACTATTTTAGACATAGCATTAAACTTGGTATTGTTCCTAATATCAATCATTCTTTTTCAGTAAATATTTGATTATATTTTTATATTCTTAGGCATTAAGGATTTATATTAAGGATTTCCCAGAATTCACAGGTCTTCTGAAAAACATAAAATCTTCATTCCCCGCCCCAATTTTAATGGGTCAATATGAGGCAAACTGTTACTAGACTTCATAATATCTTTGATTTTATTCCTGAATTAGTCAAAATGAATTTAACAATTTCCTCACTGTTTAGATGTCTTCCAACATTTCTTTCATATAATGATGAACTAATCAGATGAGTGGTTGAGAAATACTGACATTGAGAACATGACACATTTTACAAAATAAAGGGGGGATGGAAAATTATAAGCCTGGGAATTGTTTATAGAGTTGTTTAAAGTGTAAACTATTTTACCAACACCATTATTACCCTTTTGAAGTACAGAAGGCCAACAAGACCTATGGTACAATTCCACAAATAATATGGAAAACATAGGTGATGCCTGGAGAATTTTGCTCAGTAACAATGCTTTCTTTTTGTGTCTTTCTTTCAATTTTCATAAAATGTGGGCATATTGTACACAAGAGCTTCAGTCATGTTGATTTCTGGAGAGCTTCTCATCTTCATTCTGTAATGTATTTAACTCCGGTTTTCTTTGACAATGATGACTCCATTCAGTTCTGTGTTTTGCTGTCCAGTTTGAACAATGCTACCTATACTTGGGTTTGGAATAACTTAAGTGTTGGCCTACACTGTGGTGTTAAATTCTTTCTAAGAAGGGAGTCTTCTGCAGTTTACATCGTGGACTGGAGTATATGTTTTTGCATGATATGAAATAAAACAATATATGTAATCCTTTTATCCCCAAAATATTTCAAAATACCTGTTTTTAACTGCTTTGTTGTGCTGATATTTTTCTGGATTTTTATTATCTCCATTTAAAAGAATACTATTGGACTATTTGGCCAAATATTTATGTACTATTTCTCTAATTATTGATATCCTTTCACATCCTATCAGAAAGAACATTAAAATATATTCCAGTAATAACAAAAAAGATCAAACGATGCAAACATCAAGTAATTCCTCATTTAATTGGAGAATGGATATGACTTAATGCAATACACATACAAAACATCGAATATCACATAAATTATGGCCTGGCATTGTGGACATTTTTTTTAACATATATGGAAGTTCTCACCATGCTGAAACTAGCTTTAATTAATACTAACTAACTTACTGCAGATTGCCTGCTTTTGAGACCTTCTACCTTCAATTTTTGCACCATGTAATTTTACTTGAATTAAAGGTATACATATTTTTGGCTAAACTGATATTTGTTTTTTAAATACTGAGTAATAAAAAAATCAGATTATCTTCCACAATATTTCTGATATCTATATAACAGAATTGCATGGATTTTCTACTGGAATTTAAGAGCTTAAATTGAAATGGTGTTAATACAATTTGATGTAACAGGTTCCAATTTGAAAATTTAGAAAGTAGAAAGGTTTATCAATATATTCAGTTAATAGCCAATACCATTTATGAATTGTAAGCCATTGGTTTATATATTGTATTTAAATCTTTTTACTGTCTCAATGCACAATAAATGGTTGTCAATACTAGAAGACCAGATGGCATGAACTCTTTTTACTATTTATTGCAACATCCAAGAAAAGGTCTCCACAAAATACACCTAAATTATCCCTGTATTTCAAGCTCTGATCCATATTTTGAACTGCAAATTTAGCTTCTGAGAATTTCTACTGAAATATTAAAGAAAAGTCATTTCCCATAACTGACCGTATATACCAGACAGGAAGATAAAAAGTTCCATGAAACTATTTTGTTTTTATTAGACCTTAAATATGTACCATTTAAAGTCAGATGCAAAGTAACAGTTCAAGGAATAGAGGCACTGAGGGCCAGGGATTCATTGAACATATATTTAGCTCAAGAATATTATTTTCATCACCAGAATTACCCTTTTACATGGAAAGCTCATGCCTACTTTCTCCCATTAGAGAAAGACACAATTGCTGCTATTAAATCTTTAAGAAGTGACTAGGTTTTAGTGATCAACAGCAACTCATAGTAATACTCACAAAATTCTCCTCAAATTCTGCTCATCCTTGCCAAACATCTGTGTCACCTCAACCTAGTTACTAAATATTATCTGTGATTAACTGAGGAAATAATATATTATGCAAGGAAATTGAAAAGAATGAAGATTTTCTCTGAAACGCATGTTGTAATTCTCATTACTCGTTTCATTATGGTTACTTCTCTTTTTGTAAATATAATTGAAGCAGTATATCTAGTGGAGAGACTGGCTTATGTTCTCCCAGATATATTCTATGATAATGTTCTGCTTATAGGGCAGGATGGGAGAGTCACAAAAAAGTGCTTATGTGTGAAGGAGCCAATCTTACCCAAGTCTTGTAATGATACATCTCTGCCCAAAGTAATTTACAATCCTGTCAGTCTAAGACTTCATAGCATTGTCT